GCAGGGTAAGCTACTGACAGTGAGGAACATAGATGATGTGGCCTCTCAATATGGAAGCTGACCAAGACCCTGATTCTAGCCAAAATAACACGAGGAGCTAGGACAGAGTTCAAAAGAACAGAGGGTACGGTAGCTCATACGCTGGGCAGAGGGCTAATAGCACTTTCAGAGTAACACACAGGCATGAGCGGCCCTGTAGGCTGGAAAGGGCTCCCCAGGGCCTATCCTAGTCATAATTTTGGCCTGCTGATCTCTTCCTGGCTTCCTCACTGCTGTTTCAACCCTGTGTTCCCTCCACTCAGCAAGTTCTCACTCTAAAAGAGTCTGACATTTTACCTCGTGCCCTGCTCAGACTTCTGGGACCTCTCATTACTCTCAAGATAAAGTACAAACTCCCTGGCAAGTGTACAGGTCTTTCTGTATACAGTGTGGCCCTACGCCATCCTGAGATTCATTCCTCACAGGCCCTTCCTTGAATGTCATTCTTGTCTTCCCCTATGCCTCAGCTCATGGTTTCCCTTCACCCCATCCTTCCTAGTCAAGCGTCTCCTCTTTTTCTCTTAGATATTGCCTGTCTCTAAGTGTTGGATGAGGGGATCTTATTTCTGCAGTGAGGAACTTCCTGAATCTTTGTACCTATTATGCCTGTCCCATTTCACTTAAACGTGAAATACTGAAATCATCAAACATGTCTATAGCTTACACAGAGACTGGAAGTTCTACGTTTGTCACCGTGGGTTATCATTATCTGTCTTTTTCAACAGCTGAGATGTCACTTTGTCTATTAAGGACCAATTTCAAGACTAGATTGTTTTGCTTCTTTCTATCTTGGGGTTTCTAGAAAAGTAGAGTTTACAAAGGATAGATGGGCTATCTCTTTGTGAATCCTGCCACCTTGTGGCCACAGGTAGAAGTGCTTAGGGTATTTTGAGACATCATCTCAGGCAATCCTGGCGCTCCAGCTTTCCAAATGTTGGGGTTACAGATATGAACTTCCAAGTATTGCTTTAGAAGAGACTTGAATTTGAAGGGAGAACATCTAGGACAAAAATCAGAGGAAGAAAATCTAATAATGTTTGGAAGAGATTAGGCATCAGTGTGGTCAGAACGTAAAGTGCAAAAACCGAGCCAAAGATGAACAAAGATGGCAGGCAAGGGGTCCTTTAAGGCTATCCCGTGAATAAATCTGGATCTCCCCCTCTAATCTGGGGATGGAGGGCCAAGGGAACAGGGAATGACAGTCTGATCTATGTGTGTCCACATTTGGAGGCTAACATTCACCCATTCGTTGAATGGTTACTGTAAACCTACCTGGTACAGATCAGGCTCAAGATTGCTAGGTTACTTTAGTAAATAAAGCAGACATCTGGAATTCACACTGTAACCAGGAGATGATAAATAAAAGTTCTATTTTATTTCATTTATATATTATTTAATTTTTTGTGTATTTTTTTTTCTTGCATTTATATCTGTGTGCCACATATATGCCTGGTGATTGAGGGGGCCAGAAGAGGATGTCAGGTCCTCTAGGACTGCAGTTACAGCTGGTTGTGAGCCACCATGTGGCTTCTAGGAATCAAACCGGAGTCCTCTGAAAGAGCAGCCAGTGCTTAGCCCCCGAGTCACCTCTCCAGATACCCAAAACACTATTTTAAAGAGGCAAATTATATTTAGGTGGAAAAATGCATGACAAAAAGGGGGCGGGGCTGGTAAGATTGCTCCCTGGGTAAAGTACTTGCTGGTAAGCTTGAGACCTAAGTTTGATCCCCGGGTCCCACTTGATGGAAGAAGACAAATGACTCTTGCAAGTTGTCCTGTGACCTCTGTCAGCTGTAGCCCATCCATGCATACACACCCAATAAACAAACAGAAAAAGGAAAACCACCTTTTGAACTGCTGGCCTCCACAACTGTGAGATGCTACGTTTGCGGCAGTGTTATGACAAGCCCCATGAGACTAACACGGCTACACTTTCCTGTCTCTCTGGCATCCCACCTCACCCACTCCAGGCAGCTCAGGAGACCGCCAGGCCGCAGAAACCTGTACTCTTGGAGCATTCCTTCCAGCTCAGTGTGGCCACCACGGCCCTACTCTCTGGCCACTATTCCTTCATTTGTTCCTGCCTCACCTGTCTTGTGGGTACTGTGGAGCCCACATTCTGCTACTGAAAATCCAAGTTCAAGTCTTGCCGGATCATGTCATCTCTCAGTTGCAACTATTTAGACTCCCTGACCGTTTCCCACCCTTGTATAGCGACCCCTGCATCATGATGAGAGGACTTCTGGACTCACTTCCCACTGTCACCTCCACACGGCTGCATGCTTGCCTGTCCTCAACTCTTTCCTTTCTTTGACCCTACTTAAATTTCATTTAAATTTGTTTGTCTATGTGTGCATATGCATGGAGGCCAGAGAAACTTGTGGAAGGCAGCTTTTGTTTTCCACATGGGTTCTAGGATTGAAATCAGGTTAAGCTTGGTGATGAGAGTCCATCCTCTGAGCCATCTCACTGGCCCCTGCTCCTACATGTATGTCTGTGAACCACATGTGTGCCTGGTGCCTGCTGAGGTCACAAGAGGGTATCAGATGCCTTGAGACTGGAGTTACAGACAGTTGTGAGCTGCCCGGTGGGTCCTAGGAAGTGAACAAGTGGTTTGTTTTTCTTGTTTCTGTTCATGGGTGTTTGGTATGCTTGTACATCTGCACCCCAGAAGAGTCTCACTGGGACTATAGTTGAAATTGGTTGTAAACCACCATGTAGCTGCTGGGAATGAACCTGGGTACTCTGAAGAGCAGCCAGAGCGCTTAACCGCTGTACTATCTTCCCTGGCCCTGATTCTACTTTTTGATAGGGGTTTCCTACATCTCCTTACTTTTTGTCCCAAGAAAGCTTTTGTAAGTCATTATGGAAGCAGGAGCCATATTACAGTGAATTAAGGGGAAATGACAGAATCATGTACAACCCTCAGGTTCTCTCCTAAACTTGAACTCACTGCCCAGGCTTCATCTCCGGTTCTTTCGGCATATTCCTCCTGAAGATATCAGAGCCAGGCAGACTCTCTAGGTGCCAAAAGTTAGGGAAAGAACCCTAGAACCTCTCAAGGGCTTCTCTCAAGGGCTTCTGACCACACTCCCTCCACACTCATTCTGGAACTCTCAGGTGATTTCTAGTTAAGACGTCCAATTGGGAGTCCCTTCTGCTCTCCAGAGCTCAGTTATCCTGAGTCGCCCCTTCAGCTAAGCTATTATGTTTATTTCATGTGATCTCTTCAACCCGCCAAAGCAAAGTGATCAGGATGGGTTGCTAGGTCAAATTATCAATAACCTGCAGGGCAGTGGCTGCACGACCTTTAATCCCAGCACTGGGAAGCAGAGGCAGGTGGATCTCTGTGAGTTTGAGGCCAGCCTGATCTACAGAGTAAGTTCCAGGACAGGTTCCAAATCTATACAGAGAAACCCTGTCTCAAAACAAAACAAAACAAAAAAATTATCAATAACCTATAAGGAAGTATGGTTCGAAGTTCTGAGACTGTGACACTGACAACTGCTAACAGTGAAGATACTCTGAGCAGGGCGTGGTAGGAGCTGAGGAGCCGAAGCTTTGATTCAGCCAAAAGCTCCAGGTCAGGCAGTTGTTGGCAGTTTAACACAGCACAGCAGTTTAACTGTCTTCGGCGGTTATGTTACAGGTTTCAGGACCCTGTGTATTTACAGGGCCTGGTAGAGTAGCTACTGAGACTTCACCTCTCCCAATATCCTGACTTGCCCCTTTCCCTCCAGCCCCTCCTCACTGAGGGATAACTCACCTTGGAAAGCAAAGGATGTAGTGTTTAAAGTCCCAGCCAGTTCTGTGGTCCTAGGGTCACTCGTGCCTCCTTGAAGCCCGTATCAAGTCCCGAATTTCCCCAGCTTTCTCCCAGCATGCCAATCTCTTCTGCCCAACACCTTCAACTAGCTGGTTCCTGCTCCATGAACCCAGCACAGCCCCAACTTCATTTGCTTGTAACTGGACGTCTGGGTTACTAGACACGTTGATTCAGTTAGTGTAGCTGACCAGCTGTTGAGGCCACTGCTGCTGACAATCCCACCCTATTACCTGGAGCCAGCTGACTGCCAATATAACCATTCTCTTTCTTCAGACCCTTTCGGTAAATCTGAATCCAAGGCCAAAGTGAGGCAGAAAAAAATCCAGCAGTGGAAAAGAGGCAAGAATGACACCCAAAGAAAGACTGTGGGGTTAAGGTCTACTGTCAAGACAAGAAAACAGCATGTTTGTAAACTTAAGTCACTTGTAACATTATACAGCATCAGGCACTCAGGTGTTATGTGTCAAATATGTACACCTCTTCATAAAAACACGAACTGGGGGGGTGGGATGGAGACAGTTCAGCAGTTAGGAGCACTGGCTGCTCTTCCAGGGGTCCTGGGTTCAATTCCCAGCACCCACATGGCAGCACACAACTGTCTGTAACTCCACTTCCAGATCTGACACCTTCACACCAATGCACGTAAAATAAATTTAAATAAATTATTAAAAAGCATGCTAATGAGGTAAACCCTCTATACCCCATTTCATAGAAGAGAGCACTAAGGTCCAGGAAGTAACTTTATCCAAAATCACAAAGCAGTAACTTATGAGTGGGAGAGCCAGGATTAAAACCGTGACAGGCAAACTCCGAGTTCATGATCCCACTTTTCTAAAACATTTGCCACAGACGGGAGAAATGCCTGACCTGGCTGAGTCCCAAACCAGCTTAAAGCAAGAGGCAAAAAGCCATCCAGGTGACTGCTGAAATTTATTGACACCAGATCCACCCAGCAGCAGCCTCTACCTACCCTTCTGGCCTCCAGCCCATGAGCTGGGGGGTGGGGGTGAAGGAAAGTGGGCCTCACACTCTTCCAATTCCCTTACTCACAGCAGGCCAAACAAATGGGCACGGCCTTTATCTCCCTTCCCTAGGCTGATGTCAAAAAAGGCAAGTCAGATATACTGTAGATGAGTAAGCCCTTCTCAAGCAGTCTTTAATTCAGCACTGACCCACACCTTCCATTCCTCATAGCAATGCCACCCCAAACCAGAGGGATGGGAGGGCAGGCAAGACTTGAGTGGACTCAAGCCTGGCTGGCATGCTCAGTGTCACACTGCGCTTCTTACACAAGGCAGATATTCAGGTCTAGAGTACAATCGGGCTCAGCTGGTCTTCAGGACCGGGTGTCCCGAGCCCTTCTTCGGGGTCTGGGACCACAGTTAGGTATGGAGCCCAGGCCGGGGGGCGCTCCTGGGGGTTGGTAGCCACATTCACTGGGGTCCAGGGGGTCCCGACTGAGTAGTACCCACACTGCAGGCACGTGACGTCGAACTGTGAGGGGGTCTAGGCCTGTGTCTGGTGAGGCTGGGACCCAGCTGTCCTCAGTTTGCAGGAAACGAAGCTTGGTGAGTTGGTGTAGGCCTGGGACCCGTCGTTTGACAATCTCCGCACAGCTGACAGCCTTCCCAGCGGCCCGACCAGAGCCTGAGAACACCACATGCCTTGTGCTCCCCCCCTCCAGCCGACCCAAAGCCAGTCCTAGAAGGTTTCTGATTTTGCTCCCATCTCGGACTCGCATTTCCAGGGTGTCAGGAGGTAGCTGGGGCATTGGTGAAGATGCTGGGAGCTCTACAGAGCCAGCCCTCCGGTAGTGTTCCATTCTGCTGCCGTGGCTTTGGTACTCTCTTGCTGTGCACTGGGGGAAAGGGTCAGATGAGTGGCAGGACTATGACCAGGTCCATCCTCCATCGCTCCCTCCCAGGATATGGTCCCATTCCTCACCCTATCTTCTCAAGGCTGGGGCCAAGAATTATCCCTAGACCCTTCCCTAAATACTTGCACAAGTCATGTACACGGTCAGAACCAAACTCCCCCCAAAACCAGGCTATCCGGGGTAGGGCCATGCTTCATCAGCTCAAGCCTTTCAGGGCTGGGTCCCAGACCCCTCCTCAGCCACAACTCTAAGAACAAGAGCCGTTCCTCACTAGGCTTCTAAGGACTGGGACAAGGCCCCTCGCTTTGTGCTTCCAGGGACTAGAACCAAGACTCTTGGCCCCAGGCTCTCACAAAGTACTCCCTAAAGAAAGCACCGGCCCCTCCGGGCTCTAGGCCGGGCTGAGCAGACCTCATCCTTAGATCACCAGGGTTGGCCGGCTTCAGCCAGGCGGTTCAGGAACTCGAGAGTGGGGGCTCGCACAGACGACTGCTCGGACCAATCGTGGACGGCCTGGCGGGCTCCCCGGTCGTGGGCCGCTGTCCCAGGCTGCAGACCTCCCCTTTCCCCACGTCTGAGTCCCCAGCCCCTGGGATTTGGCTCTTACCACTGTTGCCAGTACACGCTCAACCCTCACGGAGTAGCCAAGATGGCGCGCAGGCCAGGAGCGCGCGGGGCGGCGGGGCCGCGCACGCAGGGGGCGGGGCCTGAGGGGACCCGGGATGCGGCTCGGCTCAGCGGAGCCGCTCCCCGCAGCTGGCTGCATCCAGGGATGCCGAAGCACGCCAGTACCCTCAGAGCGCCCTGCCCGGGAGAAGAACGGCTATCGGAGGAGTCCTGCGCATGAAGAATGCGGCTTTGTGCCCTTAAACGACGGATGGCGCGCGTCACCTGTTGACACACCGCATCAGTGAAGGTGAAGCTGAAGCACTGGTGGACACAAGCAGGCGATACCCTTAGTTACAGAGTTCTGAGCTTTGCTCTCATCCTGGGGCACTGGACAACCCTGGCGGTTTTCAGTCGGGACCAAGCAATCGCTTGTTCACAATTCATTGGCCATAGATTGGCATATGTGGGGGGGGGGGAGGATCCGGTAGTGGGGTCAACAGATAGATACTGGTGATCCTGGGGTCTATACCCTACACTATCATAACGCTTCAGCCGCGGGTGAGGGGCCCCCACGGAGCCTAGTACAGTATCCAGAGTATAGGCTCTCCAATATTTGTCCAAAGATATGTTGATTAACCACCGAAATGGCAAGAATTGAGAAGAAATTAACTTGGCAAAAACTCGTAGGAAGTTTTGGGGAAGAGCCGGGAACTATTTGTTGGAATAGTCTATGATGACTGCTAGTTTCAGATCGTTTTGGACTTGCTGCATTTTGCGTGCCAGCAACACTACGGGTTGGATGGTCTACAGGTAGTTGAAGGAGCCGAGACACTCCCTCAGACCACAAGAGGGCAGCATACACTTGGTAGAGCGGAGTGCTTAAACAGTTCATCCAAGCTTTCCCATCAAGGTTCGTTGCTCCTCCTTCCCAGATCCTATACTTGCTACATCCAAATCTCTTGGGCTCCTCTTCTGGCTACTGGCATTAGTTAGACACAAGGCTATGCTGCCTTGGCTCTGAACGTCCCTGCTTGTTCCTCCATGACCATCCAGGCATGTTGAGCCCCACCTAGTAGGACTACCACTTTCTTGGTCTTCCCCCAAAACCCTATATTCAGGTGAGGTGACCCTACCTGTGCCCTCCTTACCTGCCAAAGGATCTGATACTTAGAGGGTAGTTGGCAAATGTGGGATAAATAAATATGCAATGCCCCAAGCCAGGCAGTGATGGCACACGCCTCTAGTCCCAGCATTCAGGAGGCAGAGGCAGGCGGATTTCTGTGTGTTTGAGGCTATCCTGGTCTACAGAGCGAGTTCCAAGACAGGCTCCAAAGCAATACAGAGAAACCCTATCTTGAAAAACAAAAAAAAATCAGATGAGAGTGCTACATCTCTCAGCAAGCTCCACCAGGAGTACAGTTCCAGGTCCCACCCTGATGCTACTGACAGCTCTCCCCTTCACCACCCCAATTCTCACAGCCAAGCCCATCCTAGATCAGCAAGCCATTACACTCCTTCAGTGGTCTCCGCAGTTTATTGTCACTGGAATAAATACACTGATGGAGAGTGCAAAGCATGACTCAGGTAACCCAAGTTCTGACCTCAGAGCCCCAGCTGAGCAGACAGGGAGTCTTTGAACTCTGAATAAATACAATGCTGTCTCTGCCTCACAAAGACAGGGTGACACAGAGCCTGGCGCTGTCCTCTTCCCTGGCCTGGCATGGTAAGCAACTGTCATTCTTCTGCTGGCTTCACTTGCTTGGCAGCCTCGAGCTGGCAGAGTAGTTCATCCCACTGCACGAACTGCTTGGAGAGCAGCATCGTCTGGTCACAAGTCAAGGTGACAACAGGAGTCTGAATGAGGAAGCCCAGAGATTTGGCATGCGCCCAAAGCGGTGAAGGCGTGAGAGGAGAGAATGGGATGGGCGTGTTAGGGGTAGCAGAAACAGGCTTTGGGAGAGGGCCCATTAAGCACAAAAGATACAGTCTTGTTATATTCCTCCAGGAGAGCCTTGGACTCCTCAGTGATCTCCATACACTGGTCCTGCAGGCCAAAGCAAAGCTTAGAAAGGAGTGGGATAAAGCCCCATCTCCCACCGAACTCCCTGCCTCATCATTCCCTCCAAACCCGGAAAAGATGGTGTTTAAATAACCTAGAGTGAAAGGAGCAAACCGCAAAACAGGCACCCTAGGCCCTAGGCCAGGTGCCCTAAGCAGCAGTCCAAAGACTAACTGGAGGGGTGGTTTCCACACATTAACATCCCCTTCTCTTCCGTCCCTATGTTTTTTGTTTGCTTGCTTGCTTGAGACAGGGTTTCTCTGTAGCTTTGGAGCCTGTCCTGGAACTCACTCTGTAGATCAGGCTGGCCTCAAACTCACAAAGATCTGCCTGCCTCTGCCTCCAGAGTGCTGGGATTAAAGGAGTGTGCCACCACTGTCCAGCTGCCCCTATGTTTTTTAAGGATTTATTTATTTTTAGTTTATGTGTTAGGGTGGTTTGCTTTTATATATGTGCACCATTACATGCAGTTCCCAAAAAGACCAGAAGAGGGCGTCAGATCCTCTGGGATTGAAGTTACACAGAGGTAACTGTGTAATGCTGACCATGTCAGTGTTTGGAACTGAACCCAGACCCTCAGCAAGAGGAGAAAGTAACCTTAAGGGCCAAGCCATCTCTCCATTCCCTTTGTCCCTATTTCTAAAAAGTCTTTGAATTTGAGAAAAGGTATTTTAGGGATTATTTGGTACCTCTCAACTTCAACCTCTATTCTGGAAAGCAAGAGACCTGGATGTGGCCCTAGGCAAGTCCTTTCTCCCTCTCTAGGGCATTTAGGAATAGAAGATAAAGCTCCACATTTCCTCTGCTGACAACACAAGTGTCTAGGCATTTTCTCCACCCCCAACCCTGCTAGTGTCAGCAGACATGGCCTCTCATCACCTCCACCCTCCCTTCCAGCCCGCTCTCCTTCTGTACCTGCTGTTGGATGTGGATCTGGGCCAAGCGCTGCAGGCGGGCAGCATGCTCAGGAACAGCTGTAAAACATAACACACCGCCCAATGATGCTTGGGCCCTGCCCCCCCCCCCCCCCCGGACTGCTCAATAGTCTATTAGGTCGTCGGCAGGATTAGAGTATTGAGTAGAGAAGCTAAACAAACGCCAGGCTTCATCGACCGCTGTAAGCTGGAGGTGGTGGAAGAGCTCCCTGCCCACTCCAGCCTTATTCCAGGACCCATGGAGTGGGGTTGGGTGGGGTAAGGGAAGAACAGGTACCCAGAAGACAGAACCTTAAAGTCCTCAGTATTGCTTGCTATGAGCAGGGCCAAGTAAAGAGAGCTTTACCTATTTATTGTAGGCCCTACCCCTTTTGCTCTCAGCCCAGCAGAGCTAGGTCTTCCCAGCCTAAGGAGCTTAGGTGGACTCAATGAATACCAGGTCCCTACACTGACACCTAGGGCTCCTATGCTGAGAGCCTTGGCCACTGTGTTATGCTGCAGCTTTAGGATGTCAGATACTCAAGTGGGTAGCTGATCAGGGCAGGGAGAGGGAGCTGAGAGAAATACCTCTAGAGACAGACAAGATGGATATCTGGATTCAATTAAAGCCACTGCCTGCTTGTCAAAGCCCAGGCTCAGGGACTCTTTTAAGAGTGCAGCAGGAAAAACTCACACGCCCGGCAGGAGGTCTGACAATAAAATCTGGGCTCTGCAACATCCTGAGGGAGAGATACTAAGGGAATAGAAAGCAGGAGTCTCCAGAGTTGGGATGGCTGGAGCTTGTGCAATTGTCCTTCTTTGGCCCAAACTGCCTGAGGTCCTGGCCCTAGGCTCTTACTCGGGAATTTAAACCATAGTATGGTAGCACGGGGTAGGAAAAAGGTAAGGAACATATCCAGCATTCATACAGGGAAGCCTTGGCCCCACCAACCACCTTCCCAAGCACAAGAGTGGACCTGCAACGGCAGAGGGTACCTTTGATAGAAGCACTGTCCAGCATGGGCACCAAGGCATCCACTTGTTCCAAGAGTGCCGCCTGGGAAAGGAGGAACTGCTCCTCTGCAGCACAAAGACAAGACAACGGCAGTGAGGCAAGCATGGGCATCGCTACCGCTGTGAACCAGCGGACAGAAAGCTGGGCCCCAGCGCTCTGGGCAGCAGCTATATATACCTGCTGGTCCCCTCCCCTGGGAGTTCATTCCCATCCTACCTGACCTTTTCCGGGTGCCTCTGCCTAGCCCATCTTGAGCCAAGAGCATTTCAGTCTCTACAAACCCCTACCCCCAAGTTTTAACTCCAGATCCTTCTCTTCCACCCTCCTACCATCCCTTAGCAAGTGCTCCTAGGCCACAGGACATAGCTTCCCTAGGCCAAAGGTCCCAGGAAAGACC